TCGGTGGCGGTGGCGGTGGCGATGTCACCGGTGACGGAGGAGGAGCTGACTCTGACAGTAAAATGGAGCGGGAAGGAGTACACTGTTAGAGTCTGCGGCGACGATACGGTGGGAGAGCTAAAGCGGCGTATTTGTGAGGCCACAAATGTGTTGCCCAAACGCCAGAAGCTTCTCTACCCTAAAGTCGGTTCCAAACTCGCCGATGATACATTCCTTCTGTCGCAAATCCCTCTCAAAGCCTCCCTCAAAATGACCATGATTGGGTATGTGCCCCTCTCTCTATAACTATTCCACAAACACGTATCCTCGTGTATATCTGAATTTATATCTAATTATTGGTGATTATTGACGGATTTTGATTCATTTTTTTAAATAAAGTTTAATCTTTTTCCTGAGTTTTAAGTGATCTTAGTTGAAGTTTTTATTTCTTTCTTTTGATTAAGCACAGGGTAAAGGGTTATTGCCTATATATTGTTCCAGATTTCTAGTCTTTTCAGAGTAAAATATCTTCCTGATAAATGGGTATAAATATTCTTGATTTTTGTTAATTGAATCATGTGATAATAAAAACAACATAGAAAAATTGAAATTTACATTTCCTGAGTCTGCCCTTCATATCTATGTAATCCACACCCATACACCCCATAAATAAATAAAGGTTCTGTTATCTTTCTCTGTGGTTTGTGTCAAGTGTATTCATGGTAGAAAAATACTAAGACTGCGGGTAAAAATTGTAATATATATATGGATCGAGTCACAATGTTGCGATCATGAGATGGATGAGTTAAGTGAGCCATCCTTGTTTAGTGTTGTGTGTTTCATGGATTTTCTAGTTATAACAAATAAGTTAAAGATTTTTGGTCCCAAAAGCTTCAAGAAATCATTGCGCCAATAATCACTTTTTCCTCTCTACTTGTGTCCCCTTTGCGGTGTGGATAAAGCTAATTCTAAGATTATTAAAGGTTCTAATGTATTCTTAAGAAAAATTTGAATGATCGAACTCTCTGCCTCAAATGAATGTTGTGATTTTAAGCCAAGAGAAAAGATTGAGGGATTTGCTTACTCTAATCCCCAAACAAAGGCTTTTGCTGCTAGGTTTTTTTAGGGATTGTGGGTGTATAACATGGAGATACAATAAGTTGGTTTGATTATGAGTATAGTTCCATAAAGCCCAGACGAACAACAATGTCAAATGAATAGGTTTTACAGGGCCATGGTGTTTTGTGCTTTTTGGCGTTTGTTCATAATCAGCTCAGCAGAATGATTATCCTGTTTGTTGTAACTTATGACCTTTATATGTGCACACACGATTATATGTGTACACACACTTGTGACCCTTGTGAGTTTCTTATAGAAAATTGACTTGCAGATCCAAACTTAATGATATGTTATTTTTATCCTATGAGAAATGTGTATCCAAGATGAATTCAACTTCTTTAATAACAACTTAAAAATATTTTTATTTTATGGTTTCAGTTAGCTATGAATTACCAAGATTCAAATAGAATGACTGATTTTAGTTTGCCCGGCAAATTAATCTTATAGGATCTTCAATGAAATCATTGCCCAGAACAATGTAGTTTCATAAAATGGACTGTTTGCTTTGGCACCAGCTGGGTCTTGATTAAGTTCTAATGCTTTATGTGATTTAAAGTAAGTGTGTGAAAATTTTATGGGATTTCCAGTACTGTTGAAGATGAAATAATTGTGGATCCTGTGGACTCTCCGGAGATTATCGATGATTTTGAAATTGGACAAGTTGAAGCGATTGACATTAAAGATAATGAAGTCAATAAACAGAAACTAAGGCGGCGGATTGAGCAGTACAAGGTCAGTTATCCCTATCGTTATAGTGCTCATGGCATTAAATGTTTGTAATGAGATTTGTGCTATGTGTCCAGTGCACATGCAAAATGATTCCCACTATTAGTTTTTTACTTCTCGCTGTTTTAATATATGGTAATTTTACCTTGTTATTCCTTGTGGTGATGGAATTGAGTGCTAATGCTAGATTGAACTACGCAACCCGTGTCGAGAAGGTAAAAAGCTGCTCGTTCTGGATATTGATTATACCTTGTTTGATCACCGGTCGACGGCAGAGAACCCACTGGAATTAATGCGGCCTTGTAAGTGTTTATATATATCTTAAACTTTTTTTTTTCTTTCTTCTGTGCCAATCCTGCCTGATGTTTATTATTCCGCTACTTGACACAGATCTTCATGAATTTCTTTCGGCCGTTTACGCGGAGTATGACATCATGATATGGTCTGCCACCAGGTCAAATTTTTTCCCTTTTTTATTATTTTATCAATT